AGTAGAGACAGGGTTTCACCATGTTAGCCAGGATGGTCTTGATCTCCTGACCTTGTGATCCGCCCGCCTCAGCCTCCCAAAGTGCTGGGATTACAGCCTTGAGCCACCGCACCCGGCCAATTTTTTGTATTTTTAGTAGAGACGGGGTTTTACTATGTTGGCCAGGCTGATCTCCAACCTGACCTCAGGTGATCCACCTGCCTCGGCCTTCCAAAGTGCTGGGATTACAGGCATGAGCCACCGCACCTGGCCAAATATTATTCTTTCATAATAAAAGTAGTAATAGCTGGGGTGGTGGCTCACGCCTATAATCCCAGCACTTTGGGAGGCCAAGGTGGGAGGATTGCTTTGAGCTCAGGAGTTCAAGACCAGTCTGGGCAATATGGTGAAACCTTGTCTCTATAAAAAAATACAAAAATTAGCTAGGTGTTGGTGGCTCGCACCTGTAGTCCCAGCTACTTGCGACACTGAGGCTGGAGAATCGCTTGAGCCTGGGAAGTGGAGGTTGCGGTAAGCTAAGATTGTACCACTGCACTCCAGCCTGGGCAACAGTGACAGAGGGAGACCATGTCTCCAAAAAAAAAAAAAAAGCAATAGCTTTGATGTACTGAGTGTAAACCATATGAACCATGTGTCAAGCACTTTATACTGATTAATTTCATTTATTTAATGCCTATTTTATACCTATTTGAAAAATGAGGATATTGAGGCTCAGGAAGGTAGGATCACAGCCCCCCATTTTTGTGTTGTGTGACCTTGTCTCAGCGTCACTGTCCTCATCTGGGAAATGGGGGTAAGAACAGTGCCACCTTGTGGTGCATTTGTGAAGATTACAATTCATGGGCAGCTCCCCTGGGCCAGGTACACAGGACACACTGTTACTATTGAGGTGCTGGTTTGAGGATTTGTAGGGGCAATGCACTGTGGAGATCTCAAGGGGCCCATGGGAATGGACTCTGTCTCCAGCTCTTCCGGGGTGGATGGCCCAGGGGCTGCCATGCATCTCACTCTGTGACCAGCTCTTCCTCTTTGGAACCATACTGGTTTCTGCTCCAGCCTGCTTGCAGACTGTACCCCACAGGAACACTGAACAGGGCCCATCAGCCCCTCGTTCTCATGGCCACCAGGGTGGGCAGGCAGAGGGAGCTGCAGCAGAAAGGGTGGCCAGAACAGGCCGGGCAGGAATATGTGGGTGAGATGAGGGCAGCAAGCAGCAGGTGAAGGGCATGGCGCAGGGCAGCCAGAGGGCCTTCAGACGTCTCCTGAGCAGGGCTTCCAGCCTGGTGATCAACTGTAGGGCCCTCACCTAACCAGGCAGGGGCTGAAGCCTCACTTCCAGGAGCCCTGGCCAATGTCACCCCAACACAAGCCACCAAGAACGCAGAGGGCCGGTGTCCTTTCAGCAGATGCTCCCAGGAGGAGGCCCTTCTTTCCCCGCATGCCCCATGTGGGGATCCAGGCTGAATTTGAGGGGCCATCAGGCTGGGCCACCTTTGACCTGGGGTCCTCCAGGGCTTTCCCTGTGGTTTCTCTTTTCACCCCACCATCAGGCCGTGCAGGCCAAGGCCCCTAGAGAGAAACACCGTGGAGTATCTACAGTGACACCCGCTGTGGCTTGAATGGGGCTGGCCAGGGCACGGGAGGGGGACCTCTCCGTACACTAGCCTCACCCAAATAGATGGGGGAGCCCTTCCTGAGCCCGAGAGGGTAAACACAGCCTCACAGGCCAGGAGGCCTCGGCCAAGCAGGGGCAGAGTGGGGAGCAGAATCTGCAAGCTGGTGGTCCTTTGGGGCCTGTGAGGGCGGCTCACCTGGAAGATCTTCTGCACGATCCAGCCGTGGTACTTCTTGAGGGCCATCTCGTAGGCCTTGGTGGCGTTGACGCGGATGAGGTTGGGGTGGTTCTCGTCCCGCTCCCCGTCGCAGATGCTCTGGAGGAAGACCTGGATGAAGCGGAGGCCTCTGCAGCCCAGGGAGGAGAAGGTTCATTAGGACCGTGCACACCCCTGTCGTGAAAGACCCTGATGGACTCTGAATTTGCCACCTACTGTGAGCCAGGAACATGTACACCCCAGAGGGCGTGGTTATTCCCTAATCATCTTTCCCTGCTGCTTACAAGTAATGTGACCACTTGGCTCCATTCATTATCTCCCAAGCACCTTCTCTCCTCCAGGCCTGGTGCTGGCCCATGACAACAGTGACACTGGCTGTAAGATCCACGAGGGGTGGGTCTGGGCCTGCCTTGTCCATTTCGGTGTCCACATGACCCCCACAGGCTGGAACATGGTAGGCAACCATCAGGCTTGAGGAATGAAGCCACAGTGCTGGCCCTTAAAGGGTTTGCAGACCACAGACTGTGGATATACCGGGCACACTGGCGAGACTGGCCCCATGTGCACCAGGTTCCCCGCCTCCGCTCCCCAGCCCTCAGCATCTTTCTAAGTCTGCTACATTGCTCCTCTGCCTGAGACCTCCCAGAGCATCCTCCAATGGCCACTCGAGCCTTTCCTGAAGGGGTAGGGTGATGTTTCGAGAGCCAGGAGAAGCAGATGGGGTATAGCAAGGAGTCCACATGGAAAAGCTCACCAGGGCCCTCCCCTTAGCACACATCATCTCACCTCTTGCTTCCCTGGGGCCTGTGAGGCTGAGCTTGGCACAATCAGCCCATTTCACAGAGGAAAGCACTGAGGCTTCCCTAGAAAGGCTCAGTCACAGGCCAGGATGTGAACCCTGCCTGCCTCACTGCACGCCCCCCACCTGGCAGGCTCTTTCCTTCACTGCCCCTCACTGTCCCACTGGGGTCCCCAGGTAAGCTGCTGTGCTCCCTCCCTGCAGTGGGGTGGGGATCAAGTCAGGGTGGGGTGCTCTAAGGGGCAGAAGCACTGGGTTTGAGGGCTGAAGAGTCTATAGCTGGTTGAGAACAGCATGGGTTCAAACCAGCCCATAGGATGTATTTGTGCAAATTAGAACTCCTCCTCACAGCCGGGCACGGTGCCTCACACCTGCCTCACACGGATCACTTGAGGCCAGGAGTTCAAGACCAGCCTGGCCAACATGGCGAGCCTGTCTCCACTAAAAATACAAAACTTAGCCAGGCATGGTGGTGCACACCTGTAATCCCAGCTACTCAGGAGGCTGAGGCAAGAGAATTGCTTGAACCCAGGAGGCGGAGGCTACAGTGAGCCGAGATTGCGCCACTGCACTCCAGCCTGGGCAACAGAACAGGATTCTGTCTAAAAATAAAAAATAAAAATAAAAGAATTCCTTCTCCTCAAGATGGTGTACTTCTACCAAGAAACTGTCATAACATACAAATCCACTTTGTACGTGTGACCAGCCCTAAACAGGACACCTCTGTGCAGTAGGCAACCTGCATAACTGTGCTGGATGACATGGGCACGTGATTTGGCCTCCAGAAGTGCCAGCCGCCTCCTCTGTGAGGTGCGAATAGCTACCACACCTAACTCACAGAATATGAAACCCAATCAGCATATAAAAAGCTTAGCACGATGCCCTGATCAGGGTGTGCTCCTATACTCTGATGGGACTGGAACCAGGAAGCATCACTGTCAGGCAAGCCCTGGCCCTTGGGAGGCCTTTTCCCAGTCATTAACTAGCATCACACTGGAAGGGCTCGGAAGTGACCTTCCCAGCCTGGGGTGACACTGCGGAACAGTGACAGGTTTGCTTTCCCTCCTCTGCAGCACAGCACCCAGGCCCTGCCACCTGAGCCCGTCACCTTTTCAGCCACATCAGCGCCAGTGTGGCCCCTACTTTGGGCCACTCTGCTCCATACATTTCTTTCTCCACCTCCAGGATGTTCTGCAGGGTCCGGAACTTGGCTGGGTTAGTGTCATACACGGCTTTGATTTTCTGAAATGGAGCACACAGGATTTTCCCTTAGGTAAACTGCCCCCCATAGATATCTGGCCCACACGCTGGGTGAAGAGCACCCTACCAGCATCTCCCGCTCCTTCCTGCCCTCCAGGAACAGCAAGGATAAGACCTGTAACAGTAACTATGACTGTTCACATGAGCAAGGATTTGCAAAATGCTTTACAGGCACTGCCTTATATGATCCTGGTGGCAACCCTGAAGTTGCTGTCATTATCCCATTTTACAGGCAGAGACACTGAGGCTCACAGAAGGGCATGGACTTGTCCAAGGTCACACAGTTGGTACAAAGTTCATGTTCTCCAGCCACTACTGACACTGGCTCAGACACCAAGTATCTGAAGTTTTGCTTTAGTGGACAAGTGGAAATAGGTTCCCAGGATTCCAAGAAGTCCAGGAATGAAGGCCTCTGAGATGGAGCCAGGTAGGCCTGGGTCTGAATCCCAGCTCTGCCACTTACTTGCTTGTGACCTTAAGTGAGTCCTTCTCTTAAGGTCTCACTCTGAGTCTCAGCTTCTTCATCTGTAAAAAGGGGATAACACAGGACCAGCCTCAAAGGGCTGCTGGGATGAAGAAATGAGATCATACAGTGTGTCCCAAGCCCTTGGCTGGGCCCTACATGGATTCTCACGGGCAGTCTATGGCAGGGGAGACGGCATCAGGAACTACCAGGATTGGAGAAGGGGAGGGCCAGACCAGTGCTGACTGCGGACTTTGGGACTTACTTACTTGGTGGGGATAGATGAAAGAACCAGCAGGTTCCTTCTCAGGGTCAACCCTTTAATTAGACTTTGGTCCCAGTCAGGCTAGACTGGTGACCAGATGGCAAGACTGTGGAGGAGGGCAGAGAACATTGAGCCCTGATCGGGCAAGTTTGGGGCCCATCTTCTACGCCCCCATCTCCTTCCTCGGGCTGGGAAGCTTGCAGCTGGGACCATGGTGCTGGCAACCCAGGTAGGCATAGATTCCTGATGCAAGTCCTGGGCTATGGCTGCCTGACCAGGTACGTACCGTGATGTTGCCGCTTATGTCTGCCTTGATGGGAGTAAACACTGGGGACCCAAGGCAATCTGGGGACAAAATGAGAAGAGAGATTGAGATTACCAGCAAGTGATTTTTCAGGGCCACTGCAGGCCGTGGGGACATGGTGGGTGGGTTACGTGGTGGGTCCCGGGGAGAGCTGAGTTGTTCTGGATGTTACTAAGGCAGCATGGGCTTGGGTGCAGCTCCCAGCTCCGTTCTCTGAGCTTCCTGTTGGCAAATGAGGCTACAGCACCAATCACAGAGGCATGATGAGGACAGCTTGAAATAAACAATCCAATCCTAAGACACACATTTGATTTATCTCAAGAATCAGAATGGTATTTGTTTGTTTTTTGGGGTTTATCTTGAGACAGAGTCTCGCTCTGTCACTCAGGCTGGAGCGCAGTGGTGTGATCATAGCTCACCACAGCCTTGACCTCCTGGGTTCAAGCCATCCTCCCAACCTCAGCCTCTGGAGTAGCTGGGACTACAGGCATGCACCACCATATCCGGCTAATTAAAAAAAAATTTTGGCCTGGTGCAGTGGCTCACGCCTGTAATCCCAGCACTTTAGGAGGCTAAGGCAGGTGGATCACTTGAAGTCAGGAGTTCAAGACCATCCTGGTCAACATGGTGAAACCTTGTCTTTACCAATATACAAAAATTAGCTGGGTATGGTGGCTCGCACCTGTAATCCCACCTACTCAGGAGGCTGAGGCAGGAAAATTGCTTGAATCCGGGAGGCGGAGGTTGCAGTGAGGTGAGATCATGCCACTATACTCCAGCCTGGGTGACGGAGTGAGACTCTGTCTCAAAAAAAAAAAAAAATTTTTTTTTTGCACAGATCTTGGTGATCAGGATCTTGTGTAGACCTAAGCTAATGTGTCTGTTTTTAACAAAAAAGATTTTTTTAAAAAAAAAAGTGCTTAACTTTTAAAATAGAAAAAAGCTCATAGAATAAGGATATAAAGAAATTTTTTCTAGAGCTATACAATGTGTTTGTTTTTAATTGTATAAAACATTTAATTTATTGGTCTTTGGGGGGAATTTGATGCATCACCACTATATTAGAACTGAGCCATTAATTCTGTAGCTTCATCAATATTAACTACTTTATTTTTATGATGCTACTGAGGAATCAGTTCTTTCTACAGAGGTTCAAGAGAAAGTCCTTCTAAGAAGTGTGCAAATCTCGTATATTTATTAGATTGGTGCAAAAGTAATTGCAGTCTTTGAATATAAAAGCTTTATCTACTCTGTTGACTTTTTCATCATTCATAACGCTTATCTTTTTTTTTTTTTCCCGAGACACAGTTTCACTCCTGTTGCCCAAGCTGGAGTGCAATAGCACGATCTCAGCTGACCACAACCTCCACTTCCTGGGTTCAAGCAATTCTCCTACCTCAGCCTCCCGAGTAGCTGGGATTACAGGCACACGCTACCACGCCTGGCTAATTTTGTATTTTTAGTAGAGGCGGGTTTCACTATGTTGGTCAGCCTGGTCTCGAACTCCCACCCTCAGGTGATCCACCCGCCTCTGCCTCCCAAAGTTCTGGGATTACAGGCATGAGCCACTGTGCCCGGCCTCGTTTATCTTCTTAAGATTAGTGGTAACCAGTTTTGCTTTGTTGGTAGCCTTAAAGTGTTTTCAGCTGGCTATGTGAAATACACTCCCGGACTTCTGCCTTCTTAATCTGTTCTCGGCCATTGTCTTCAATAGTAGCGTGCACCTATGTGTGTTTTTAAAGACAGGGTCCTTTGGCAACTGAAGCAAGATAAATAAAAATAAATAAATGCATAAAATAAAGATAGGGTCTTGTTCTGGCACTCAAGCTGGAGTACAATGGCGAGATCACAGCTCACTGCAGGCTTCAACTCCTGGACTCAAGCAATCCTCCTGCCTCAGCCTCCCAAAGTGCTGCGATTAGAGGGATACACCATCACACCCAGTAGAATGTTCTTAAATGGAGGCGTTTTCCTTTCTTGGTGGGTCATAATATATGGGAGCATTGTATAATAGGTAACACGTTGGAGTTGATAAAATGTAGACCTGGAAACTGCCTGGCAGTGCCTGGAACTGCTGGGATCTGCTGAAATGTGAGCAACCGGCTGCCTGCCTCTCCTCTGCTCCCTCTTTTGTCACCCCCATGGCAGGCTGTCACAGGACATCTCACTCCTTACATGCAGGAAGTATGCAGGTTCTTTACTGAGTAGGCTCGATGTGGACTTTACCTTCGAGACTGAAGACAGACTACCGGGCTTCCGTGACACCTTTTCATTGTCCTTGTTGCAGTCCAGAAAAGTGAGCTCGCTAAGCCTACTACAGAGCCCAGGGGACAAAGACCCCAGAGCAGGCTAGAGGCGGGTGCCAACCCCACGGGAGTGAAAGGCCAATACCCAGGAGGCCAGACAGGGACCTCAGTGTGTGCGCCAAGTGACCACATGAGGGCAGAGGGCTAGGGGAGGAACTTCCTTAAGCCAAATTCCACCCAGGGTGACCCTGCACACCTGGCCAGCCATCTGGAACATTCTAATTGCAGCTATGGAAAGAGGTACATGAGAGAAACAGCATTAGACACTTAAGGAAACAGCCCATAGTCCAGTGGAAAGAAGGTGGGCTAGGGATTCAGACAGATGGGGTGAGAATCCTGCACGACCACTCCCAAGCTGAGTAAGTCTCCTCGCCTCTGTGTGCCTCAGTTTCCTCTTGTGTCAAATGGGGCAATAATAGTACTTATTTCATATACTTCTTTAAGAAATTAAAAATGAGGCACCGAGGCCAGGCGGTAGCTCACACCTGTAATCCCAGCACTTTGGGAGGCCAAGGCGGGTGGATCACAAGGTCAGGAGTTTGAGACCAGCCTGGCCAACATGGTGAAACCTCACCTCTACTAAAAATACAAAAATTAGCCAGGCGTGGTAGCAGGCGCCTGTAGTCCCAGATACCCAGGAGGCTGAGAGAGGAAAATCGCCTGAACCTAGGAGGCGGAGGTTGCAGTGAGCCGAGATTGTGCCACTGTATTCCAGCCTAGCAACAGAGCAAGACTCCATCTCAAAAATAAAATAAAATAAGGCACCAAATACATGTAGCAGAGTGCCCGGTGAGTGCTGAACACTCAGTACCTGGACTTCAATCATATCATTACTAGGGTCAGGTGCTGTGACCCAGCAAATGACATCATTGTGGAAGCCACAGGATCCCCCAGAACCTCCACCGAGTGGGACTCATCCTTGACCTGTGCCCCTGGCTGCTTTCTCTGTGCTCCCCTGTGAGGCCCCACTAGAGCCGGGGCTGCCACCTTGCCCTGCTGCAAGCTCCGGGCATGCTGTCCTCACGCTGGGCCATGAGCAGTCTCCTCTTGGCAACTGAGCCTCTTTCCAATGTCTACAGAGGCAAATCTCCCAACAAGGGGCCATGCTGGAGCCTTCCCTATGGTGGTCACGTCAGAGGCTGCTCAGAGGTGCTGCGCCAGGGATGCAGGCAACGAATCCAGGGTGCTCTGGTCTCCCAGACAGGCCTGCCAGGCATCAATGGGGTGACAACTCCATGCCACCCTTTAACCTCACCTGACGGATCACTGACCTCCGCTGCATGTGGAGGCCAACCTGGGGAGGTCATGCCACTTGTTAGCCCTGGAAGGTGTTCTCTTCCAGCACCGCTACCGCTGCTCTCTGGAAGGACCATGCATTCTCAACTTACATAATAACGCCGGAGCCAAGATCCTCTTTCCTCCGCCAGTGACTACAGCGCCGCCAGAGGGTGCCAATTCCGACCCTCACAGGGGGCCAGGCAGGTGCCATGGATGGGCTACATGGGGACTGGCAAAACCCATCCAGCCATAAGGCTGTTCCTCAGCTCCAGCTGACGGCTTTACATCCTCATCTTCCCAAAATGTATAATGAGCCGGACATGGTGGCATGCACCTGTAGTCCCAGCTACTTGGGAGGCTGAGGTGGAGGATCGCTCAAGCCCAGGACTTAAAGTTGCACTGAGCTATGATTGTGTCACTGCACTCCAGCCTGCGCAACAGAGTGAGACTCCATCTCTTAAAAAAAATTAAAATGTGGGCCAGGCGCAGTGGCTCGCCCCTATAATCCCAGCACTTTGGAAGGTCGAGGCGGGTGGATCACCTGAGGTCAGGAGTTCAAGACCAGCCTGACCAACATGGTGAAACCCCGTCTCTAATACAAATACAAAAATTAGCCAGGCATGGTGGCGCGCACCTGTAATCCCAGCTACTTGGGACGCTGGGGCAGAAGAATCACTTGAACCCAGGAGGCAGAGGTTGCAGTGAGCCGAGATTGTGCCACTGCACTCCAGCCTGGGCAACAAGAGTGAAATTTCATCTCAAAAAAAATAAATAAATGAAAAATAAAAATGCATAATGTACAAAGGCTTACATTAGACTGATGGACGGATGGATAGAGATATGGATAGATAGGCACAGTAAAATATTAATGGTAACATCTAGGTGATAGATGTACGAGTACTATTTACTGTAAAATTCTTTCAACTTTGCCACGTTTGGATTTTCTCATAGAAAATACTGAAAAAACTAATGTCAGGGTTTTTTCCTGCTCATAAAATCCTATTTGTTTTTCTACTTTTTTTTCCAAGTCTGTTTCACCGTTACAGTGATGATAGTCACGTGTGTTACACCTTTGTTTTTTAAACCAACAGTCTTGCCACCAGACTTGAGCTCTGAAGAGGGCAGGGACCAGGTTCCCTGCTACGCCCCCAGCACCCAGCAGGTGCCTGACCCCAGTCGGTACTTGTATGACATCTGTGGAATGAATGAGTGAATGAATGGACTGTGGGAAATGTAGAATCTGTCAGTGTATTTCCCTGCCAGGCTCTCCATCTCTGCACCCTCCTATGGTTCAGACTGACCCAACACACTGGTTTTAAGTACCTATCCAACCCAGATGGCAGAGGATATGTGAAGGGACTTGGGCCTCAGTTCCCCTGCTTATAAAATGGAAATCCTTCTAAGATGTTCCTCTGCAGGGCTGCTGTGAGGAAGAGGTGTCACACGTGCAAAGTGAG